CCCCCCCAGATGCCTTGGCAATCTTGGTCTACTTTTCTTACTTTTCGACAATTCACGTAATAGAAAATTGTTTGCGTTGACCGTTTGCTGTAGATACAGACAATTCACATTGATGTAGGTCACTAAATGGCTGGCACTCGCCGATTTGTCGGAACGTCGTTGGTGTCCTCCGGCAACGACACCACGAGGACTTTATCGGAAAAGCCAACACAAATTTGCGCATGCCTCGGTTTCCAGCAGACGGCAATGCCTGCCTCTAAACCGGCTCTTTAGGCTGCTAGACAAAAATAGATAGACTACTTAATTAACTACTGATGCCGAAAAGGATGAGTTTACATTGCAATGGAGATTGCTGGTTGCAGGTTAATACGGTTATAGTTTGAAGTATATAAAAACAACGGTAGAGCTTATTTCATTTTCGTCAAAGCTGAAAGCCAAACATGGACTAACGAAGATCACCGCCACATGTTGAAGAGTGAAGCGAACCGGTCTGGTGAAGAGAATCTTGAGGATCACCAGAAAGGTGTAGTCGAGTGGCCAAAGGAGCGGGTACAAGGACGACCGTGAGGCGGACGAATGAAGCCGACAACAAGGACTACAATTGTCCGACCCACAGCGAGACGTTCTGGGAACATCTGCATACGTAGGACAAGTGAGAACGGAATATCATTAGTGGAAAAGAGGCGAGAACCTCAATTACGGTCATAATTAGCATTCGACCTTGACTGAATGATGCCTCTTTTGACACTTTGCACATGGACCCGACTGGTCGGTGATGGGCTGGACAAGTTTGCGTGCATTTCTTCTATGCCAAGGTGTAAGTCTTGCCCTCGGCCCAATCTCGTTCCGGTTGAAGTAATTCCCTTCGATCCGAAGCAAGTGAACGCCACAGCGTGCACAGATTGCGAAGTTGCCAATGACAATTGGCGCTTTGAGCATTGCTGGTGTTGAACAGTTCTGCTGTCAAGGGAGGTGTCTATTGATTTCCATTAGCTCAACTACGATTGTATAGCGCCAGAATGGATACAAACCTGAGGCAGTGTTATCCAGTTCGGTCTATTTTTCATCCTTCACCAGATCAAGGCCGTATTTAGAGCCAACCGAGTTACATGTGCGCGTAACTGTAGCCACTTTGGTCTCTTTCCTCAGATCGGATGATGGCCTATCGGTTGCAGTGCAATGCCGTTAGTTCTGCATCCTCCTGCTTTCGACTGCATCGGTGACAAGATTGAGGGTGCTATTTGGTGAAGTCTAGACGCATTCACCTGTGCTGATGCGCGCAGGTACGTAAACATTGTCGTTTGTGTATAGGAGAGTAAAGAGGGTAAGGGAAATCAACATGAACACTTGAATTTCATGTACAGAACGGATAGTCCTAAATGAAAAAGCATGAAACTCGAGCGGGGAA